GCAGGTCGTGTGGTTATCCAGAGGCGAGCAGAGGGAAGCAGTTTCCCCCTGATGAGGTTTGTCAGCAGCACGTCCACTGAGGTGGACTCTGTAACATCAGTCAGGATCTCAGTGTTGTGGAAGTCCAGAGGAAGTCTACACTCATCCAGACCGTCAAAGATGAACACGACCTGGAACTGATCAAACCTGCAGATTCCTGCTTCTTTGGTTTCAGTAAAGAAGTGATGAACAAGTTCCACCAAGCTGAACTTTCTCTCTTTCAGCACATTCAGCTCTCTGAAGGTGAATGGAAATGTGAACTGTATGTCCTGGTTGGCTTTGTCTTCAGCCCAGTCCAGAGTGAACTTCTGTGTTAAGACTGTTTTCCCAATGCCAGCCACTCCCTTTGTCATCACTGTTCTGATTGGTCCGTCTCTTCCAGGTGAGGCTTTAAAGATGTCTTCTTGTCTGATGGTTGTTTCTGGTCTGACTGGTTTCCTGGATGCTGTTTCAATCTGTCTGACCTCATGTTCATCATTGACCTCTCCAGTCCCTCCCTCTGTGATGTAGAGCTCTGTGTAGATCTGCTTCAGAAGGGTTGGGTTTCCTGCTTTAGCGATCCCCTCAAGCACACACTGGAACTTCTTCTTCAGGTTAGATTTGAGTATAGGTTGGCACATAGCAGGAGATTCTGGACGGACACAAAAGTATATTTTCTGAAAGTAGCTGTATCTAACTTGTTCACCAACAAGAGAATGGAGTATGACTCTAAACAAATTCACACTGTGAGCAAATCCTCACCGCCCCCTCGCCCCTCCCATCCTGTTTCCTGAAACTATGACTTTAACAACAGATGCCTGGTTGTGACAAACTTTGCAGGGCAGCAACTGGTTTAATCCTAAAATCAGATGAATAACAAACAGCATTGCAACAACACAATGACCAGTAAAGAAGGTTTACATCTTAGGATTCATAGCACATAATTTATAATTATTCCAAATATTGTTTGTAGTGGCTGCCTCGACTTGTTCATACAGTCATGGCCAAAAATATTGGCACCTGTGCACTTCTTTTAGACAATGCACAAGTTCTCCCCGTAAATTGTTGAAATTAAAAATGCTTTGGTATTCACATGTTTATTTCTTTTGTTTGCACTTGAAGAACACAAATGATTTGACGTCATTCTACACAGAACTCCAAAAATGGACTGGACAAAATGATTGGCACATTTTCAAAATTGTAAGAAATAATAGGATTTCAAGCATGTGATGCTCCTTTAATTTGTATTTAAACTCATCTATGGCAAGTAACAGGTGCTAGCCATATAGAAATCATACTGGCAACCAGTTTAAATGGAGAAAAGTTGACTCAACCTTTGTGTTATGTGTCTGTGTGTACCACACTGAGCATGGAGAAAAGAAAGAAGAGCAAAGAAGTGTCTGAGGATTTGAGAACCAAAATTGTGGAAAAGCATGGACAATCTCAAGGCTACAAGTCCATCTCCAGATATCTTAATGTTCCTGTGTCTACGGTGCGCAACGTCATCAAGAACTTTACAACCCATGGCACTGCAGCTAACCTCCCTGGATGTGGATGGAAGAGGAAAATTGATGAAAGATTGCAATGAAGGATTGTTTGAAGGGTGGATAAAGAACCTCGATCAACTTCCAAAGAAATTCAAACTGACCTGCAGACACAGGGTACAACAGTGTCAGCTCGCACTATCTGTCACCATCTGAATGAAATGGGACACTATGGTAGGAGACCCAGGAGAACCCCACTGCTGACAAAGAGACATAAAAAACCCAGACTGGAGTTTGCCAAAACCTGAGGAAGCCTAAATCCTTCTGGGAGAACGTCCTGTGGACAGATGAGACCAAAATAGAGCTTTTTGGTAAAGCACATCATTGTTCTGTTTACAGAAAACGAAATGAGATCTTCAAAGAAAAGAACATGGTCCCTACGGTCAAACATGGTGGAGGTTCACAGATGTTTTTGGGTTGCTTTGCTGCTTCTGGCACTGGATGCCTTAACTGTGTGCATGGCATCATGAAATCTGAAGACTACCAAAGAATTTTGGAGCGCAATGTAGGGCCCAGTGTCAGAAAGCTGGGTCTCCATCAGAGGTCATGGGTCTTCCAGCAGGACAATGACCCAGAGCACACTTCAAAAAGCACCCAAAAATGGTTTAAGACAAAGCGCTGGAGAGTTCTGAAGTGGCCAGCAATGAGTCCAGATCTAAATCCCATAGAACACCTGTGGAGAGATCTCAAAACAGCAGTTGGGAGAAGGCACCCATCAAATCTCAGAAACCTGGAGCAGTTGACAAAAGAAGAGTGGTCCAAAATTCCAGTAGAGAGGTTTCATAAACTCATTCATGGT